AGCTAAACAATGTTGTTGTTCTGTTAGGATGATCAGGCAGGAGGAGATAGCAGCAAGAGTAACAGTATATCTAAACAATGTTGTTGTTCTGTTAGGATGATCAGGCAGGAGGAGATAGCAGCAAGAGTAACAGTATATCTAAACAATGTTGTTGTTCTGTTAGGATGATCAGGCAGGAGGAGATAGCAGCAAGAGTCACAGTATATCTAAACAATGTTGTTGTTCTGTTAGGATGATCAGGCAGGAGGAGACAGCAGAGTGAGTCACAGTGTAGCTAAACAATGTTGTTGTTCTGTTAGGATGATCAGGCAGGAGGAGATAGCAGCAAGAGTAACAGTATATCTAAACAATGTTGTTGTTCTATTAGGATGATCAGGCAGGAGGAGATAGCAGCAAGAGTAACAGTATATCTAAACAATGTTGTTGTTCTATTAGGATGATCAGGCAGGAGGAGATAGCAGCAAGAGTAACAGTATAGCTAGCACCCAGAGCCACCAGAGCGGTGGGGTCAGTGCTGGTAGTCAAGGCAGTAGTACGAGCAGTCTTCCACCAGTTTCTGATAATGATTCAGGCTATAACTACCCACCGTCACTTCGAGGCCAGCGAGGGAACGTTCGGGTCAGTCCTTCGGTAAGAAGAACGTTATGAGTGTTTTGTGTTTGACATTCTGTTGTAGTAGCATTGTTAGATTCAGAATAATTAACGGTTGTTTCATGGAATTGCTGATTTCAAAAACTAAAACATGCTTCAAAATCTGCACACAGTTTTATGACATCTACTCTTAACCGAAGGTGTAGAAATGATTATGTGATATAGTTTTATTTAACATTTTAGTTTTTGAACCCAACTACAACAACTTATCACACAATTTTCTTCTAGTTAATTTTTGAATTTTATTTATAGCCAGTCGTTGATAGATGTTTAAATTATATTGGTAGGTACTCACTAAAATTAAAAGAACTCTGTATTTTCAGAATATTTTGCTCCAAAACAAGTTATTGTTGAAATGAAAATAGATTTTACCTGGTTATCAAAAAACATTTCCTGGTTCTACTTTAAAGAATTCTTCCACGACGAGTCTGAATAGTACAGAAGTCGGAGCAAACAACTTTGCCACAATAAGAACAACTTCCATAGTCAGTCGTCAAATTAAAGAACACGAACAGGAGAATCAGATGCACGAACAGATGTCTGGATATAAACGTATGAGAAGGTTACACCAGAAAGCTCTTATTCAGGTGTGTATCATGAGTGTTATTAGTTTGAATACTAAAATTGGCTTGATAACAAGAAGTACAAGAGGAAAATGTAAATAGTAATAAGCATATTGATAAAAGTATCTTGAGAATAAAATGTTTTGTAAGTTTTTTAACAATGATTCTAGAATAATAATTTGGTGGATTAATAACGCTTGGAGACGGCTTGAATGGGTAATGAAGAAAAACTTTATTATAAGTTTAACATAACAGCAAATGTACAACGTTTTG